ATCAGATTAATCAGATTAATCAGATTAATCAGATTAATCAGATTAATCAGATTAATCAGATTATTCAGATTAATCAGATTAATCAGATTAATCAGATTAATCAGAGATTAGCTGGTCTAGAATGTAGAAAATGACTCGAGTTTTTTCTTAAATTCAGGTCATTTTGTGATTTTCAACATTTCATCTGTTGGTCCAGTTCCACTCAAACAGCCCAGATTTATCAAATCATTGTTTGTTTGTTGTTTGTTGTTTGTTGTTTGTTGTTTGTTTGTTTGTTTGTTTGTTGTTTGTTTGTTTTCAGTTGGGTTCTTTAGGTTCCACACATGACTGAATCTGTCTCAGGTCTCAGCAGCAGAACATCTCTGTGGTTTCATCTTGTTTCAGGGGTTTTCAGTCTTCTTCTTCTTGATTTGGACCCATCGTTTGAGCAGAACCAAGGGTTCTGAAGAAGCAGCTGGACTCATGGATGAATGCAGGAAGAGTTTATTTAGAGCTGAAGGATGCAGAGCAGACAGGAAACACAAACTGAGCTACAAAATAAAAGTCTGATCTGTTTTCTGACCCGTTTGGATGACCTGATGAAAGTAAAGTTTGACCTTGTTCCTGTAGAACCTGTTGGTTTCTCTCTGATTCATTAACAATGATTTTAAACAGAAAACACTAAGTTTGTGTCTCAGTGAGAAGAAGTGCTGAACTCACAGTTTCACAAAGTTCTCTCTTTTAATCTCTGATGATTAATAATTAATGAGAACAAACTTTAAAACTATTCAAAAAGTCCTGAGGGATTAAACTGAATGTTGTGTTTAATCCCTCCTGACAGACAGTTCTGTGGCTTTACTTTAACAGTGGAGACAAGTTTACTCCTAAAGCAGCAAATTAAATAATCTGAAGGTTTGAGAGCATGTTCAATAATCTGAACGTTAGTCTGCACAGATTAGGATATAATCTGAAGGTTATTTCTGCACAGATTAGGATATAATCCGAAGGTTATTTCTGCACAGATTAGGATA